TTTTCCAGCTGAGTTCAGCCTTTTCCCAAAGACTACTACTTGTTGGGTAGTGTTTCCCAGGTGGACATGGCTGCTGTGGTGGAGCACCAAGTGTAGAGTTTATGCTTCTGACTCACCGAGCCTGGTGGATCCCTGGCACTGCTTCTGGGCTTAGGTTTGTAAGAACATCCTTCGGGTGCAGATGGTCTGTCTAGCACCCTATTGTGAGAGCTGAGACCCCATCATCCACCACTAGAAGCGCTCTAGTTTTTACAAGAAAAAAGGGGTATGAGAGAGATGATACATACTAGTAAAAACTGCAGTTGCATTTTTTTTTTTTAACGTGATGCTGTAAAACCTCAAGTGACACTTCTTCCTACAGCTAGCAGTAGAGAAATCAAGCAACAATAAATATTGAAACAGTAGCACAACCTTGTAGACAGACCTTTTTTTCCTGTTAAAATGGAAATGAAGTGTAATCTTAGACATTACCAACTATCATAGTAATGCTGTATCGTGCTAAAAGCCAGGGAGTGGAGCTGGTTGGCATTTGGAGCTGTTGCACGCTGTAAAGTTATTCCCTATTTTTTTTGGAGGCTCTGGTTAAAATAACATGCTTGACTTTTCTAGAAGGGATACAAGGCAACCGTGTACTTCCACTGACGAAGTTTACAGGCTGTGGGTCGTTCGCTAAAACTACCCGAACACCTCCAAGCCATGTGAAAGGCGTCTTCTTAACGTGGTCCTTGCGTTTAACGCTTTTGTTCGCTTTCTGTGCCGCTCTTTTTGTCAACCTCGGGAGCCTTCAGCAGTGTTGGTCTAGGACTCTTTTCTTTGAGAAAGTTCCCGTCTCTCCCCACGGAGCTGAAAGAGGAAATTCATGAAGACTGCAATTTTAAAAGCAAAACCGGGCTTTTTTGTTTTCTGTTTGTTACCATACTAAATAAGATGGGATCTGGCCAGGGTTGTTATAGTAACTACTAAGATTTCCTCAAGAGAAGGAGAAAAAAAATAGAACACAGACCCATTCATCTATTACTTCCAGTTTTTCATTCAGAGTTACATGCTGTTCTGTGGAGATAATTTGCAAGACACACAGTGTAGGTAATTTCAGTGACAAAAACACATACCAATAATGAGCACAAATGGCTCTCCAGAATGTTGTGCTGGCACTCCTGGGTTATTTTCTAGCTTTGGAGGCAAGAAGGGTTGTCTTCCCTGGATCCACAGTCATTAGTCTGGCTTTTCACCTCTGGATTATCGGGCTGTCTACAATATTATACAATTATATTTTATTGATACTCCTGCTAGGTAATAGCTTTCTCCTAATATGATATTTTTAAACAACCATGAGGCCAACAGGGCAAGAACAACTTCAAGAGGCTCAAGTCCTGTTGTGATCTTGTATGATCGCTTTTCTTCACAGGTTGGAAATGCCTGGAACAGCCTGAAAATCCTAGTTGTTTTTCATGCCTGCAGTGCTTCATAGTTTTCCGGTGATCGACCAATGCTTTTTAACTGGTTTTATAATTGGTCATTCCAGCTACAGAATCCTGAGGGTCTTGAGGAGATTTGAGCCTTCCCAGAAGAGCATAGCCACATGTCCATGCCGTTGGATCTCACCCTGTGTGCCTGTTTCTCAAGGTCAGCTTTCCTTCTGTAGGAGATCCTCAGCCCTTGAGGAACAGTGCATCACCAGAAAACATCATCCTAATTCAGAATTCTTCCTTTTTGTCCAATATCAAGAGGACGTGACTTAAATAATAAGGACTCATTTCTCCATGTGGGATATTAGATAGACGTGGAAAAGTATGACCAGTGACTGGCTTTATCCGTTGAAGTATTCAGCACACACTTACTTATGTTCCTAAAGAGTGCAAGCTCCTTGCAGGGAAGTACTCACCTATTCCCTCTATCACTTGCCTATTATTTTTTATTAAGAAAAGGTTAAATTTTAAGACAAATTTAGCATACGTATGCGTAAGGGAAGGGGGCTGAGAGTTAAGACATCCACTGAAGATCACTGAATCCACAGAAACCTCAGTGGCCTTGGCTGAAAGCAGTGGGAGGCTGGGAAGGTGCTTAGAGGAGACGTTATTGCTGCTTGCCTTCATCTTGCTTTTCCCTGTGCGTCTACTTGTGCCCACTCTTGGAGAAGGTTTGAGTTGGGTGGATTTTTTTTCTGAACCAGTAAGGAAAGCTTTTATGTATTAAGTCATTCTCTGATTTTTGGAGCAAGGCACAGTATTTCCACAGCCAGCTCTTTAGGTGAAATGGATGATTGCCTAGCCTTTGAAGAAGGGAGGAGATTCTTGAACGCACTCAGTCCTTCATCTTTGATACTCTTTGTAAAATCTGATGAATATAGATTTCTGAATTTCACAATGCCCCAGTAAAATGGGAATAGAAGAGCAAAAGAAAGTTCTTGCATCTAGCGCTAAGATACAGCCCAGTGTTGGTCTTAACTGTCTTTCTTTGAGATCCTTCGTGCCCTCAACGTAGCTTAGTCCCCTTTGGGATGGCAAATGAATGCGCCAGCCGTTGAGGGGTGATGCCTGAATCGATGGACCTAAGCCCCATCTGGCAGGAGAAATCCAGAGCAGCTCTGGGAAGTCGCGAAGTCCCAAGCAAGTGGCTTAGCAAAGCACGAGAAGGACGATGGGCAGCTCTTTCTGCAGGGGCATGGAGCATGGGAAATGCTGAGCCGAAGAGGGAACGGATTTCAGGCCAACGCATCCAGAAATAGGGCAGAAAATATATCACTTGTTAGGTGTGTGTAGTGACCCGGGGCTGTGAGCTTCAGCTGGTAGCGCCGACCTCGGCGTTAGCACCCAACACGAACGAGCGCCGTCTCTGAGCCCACATTTTGCCAAGAATATATAGGTTTTTGCAGAGGTCGTCCCTGTGTGATGCCAACCCTCATTTGGCGTCTTTGTACGGACTCTCCACTTCTGCTGAGTAGCTGCTAATCAGTGCAAGAATATGTAAAATATATAAAATACTGGGGCTGGAAATAACGTGGCACTGATGATGAGAGCTCAGCCAGTGTAAAACCGGCCGCGGACCCGATCCCAACCCGCTCGCTCTGCAAAGTGAAGGAATTGCCACTATTCCATATGTCTTCTGTGTTGAATGTTTTAAGGACAATAGTCATTCATTAATTGCCGCTTTCAGGTTGGCGTAACTGCTGGCGCTTCCAAGGAAACAACGAAATACTCTTTGATGTTTGCATGAAAGGGAGAAAAGTAGTTTCCCTGCTGCCAATCCCAAGGCCGTGAGCTCGTAATGAGCTCAGCGACGCTCGCCTTATTTACCGGCGGGTTGTGAGAGCGGAGTTTGCAGTGACGACGAGGAGCCTTGACACGATTACCCTAAAACCACAGGACTTTAGATGAGCCGCAATCACCCTACATGTTATTTTAGACAAAATATTCTGTATTTATGAAATGCCCTCCGGCACTAATATTAGAAAAGCTGCCAAAACAACAGAGCTAGTGCAGAAATGTCAAACCGAAGTCGATGTTACTCATCTGGATGACAGATAACCTGCAGGAGGCCTTTGAAAATGTTTAGCTGAGTGATTTGTTTTGCTTCAAATATTTGGGAGCCATTACTCAGTGATCTAGTGCTTTCTGCAGGCTTGGATAAGCGGATTTAATCCCACTCTTTATACCCTGGCTTGTTCTTCCTTAGCTTGGGCTCATCAAAGAATCTTTCTACCTGTCTACTTCTCCCCTGTGGGTTTTTTTTTTTTATTTTAAGAAATATATATATTTTATACAGAGTGTATTTATATACTCTATATAATGTAGTGCCTCTATATGCACACTATATACTTATTTTTTCTTGCAATTATTATATATATAGTTCTCAAACATATTATATATATATAAACTTTGCTTCAACTGCAGAAGACTTTTTTATATTTATATATATATGAACAACTGTTCTGGGAGTAAACTGATGATTCTGACAGGCTGGTAGCATGGCTTAATGCTCTTGTGATCCCTTGAACACATGAAATGTATTTATTCTTCTATTTTATCACAATGCGAGGAAGCTCTTTATTTACGCATGCCTGTATTTGAATAGTGATAGTTGGATTCTGACTTTAACTGCGCTGACGATTGACTTGGGTATTTTTAGAGTGAACGTAACCGGTTGCGAAAACCCCGTCCGAATGAGCATGTAAGCGGCACCCTAAAAAAGCAGCACGGGTCAGCGGCCCAGCGTAGTGGCACTCTGAGATCCCTCTGAAGCAGATGAAAACGTCGTGATATTTCAGATAAATGAACTGGACTCGAACGTCGATGCGCAGTGTCAGAGCTGTTACGTTGCCTTGCGTGCCGTTAGATGCTGGCTCCGGTGGAGCTGCTCTTCTTGACGTGGCTGTGCCGAGATCCGGCTAAAACTCACTGGGATGTCACTTCTTAGCAAGCGCTGAGTTCTCTGTGGTGATGCTTAATATGTGCAGGCTCCGACTTTGCTCTTCCCATCGGCCATACCTCCCCAGTACGGGCACTGGGAGAGGCTGCGGGGGGCAAAGTCAGGTCTTCTATCTAAGCGGTTTCCCTGTCGATATGAACCTGAGAGTTGGCGTGGAGCGATACCCGTGTCTGAGACGGGCATCCGCATTGCACCTGAACGTGTCCATTCGGTCTTTATTTTCTGCCTTTAAGTGAGAAGTCATTCATCTCCCAGATTTCTTGGATCTCTGATGTCACACTGAAGACTCTCAGGTTTTTATGATATCTTCTATAGATGCGTTACGAGGGGGCATTGTTTGTGTTTTCTTTTGTTTCTTCCTCGTACCGCTTCTGTAGACAGCAGGGCTGTGCCAATCAGCAAAACGAGTGTCCACACATTTTTTTTTTTTTTTTAATAATGCCATATGGGTAAAAGGACCCATCATAAAGTTTGCACAAAAGAAGGTATAATTCTATAACTTAACTCCATTGCTTTTAATAAAACGATTCAGTGCAGGACAAGCACTGCAGACCACACTGCTATTTTATTTGTAGAGTCGTCTGAAGGAAGCCGTGCAGTTGTTGGAGGATTACAAACATGGGACTTTGCCCCCGGGAGTCACCAACAAAGAGGTAAGAGGAAAAAGCGTTTCGTTAAATTTCTGCTTCTTCCCGCAGTCTAAAGGAGGGAGGATGAGGGGGCGGTTCAGGCCGTATCTGCAGTAAATGCACTACTGCAGGGTTTTGGTTTTTTAATTTCTCCTGGTAAAATCCTGTACCGGTGCTGTTCGGTTGATTGCTGACTTCTGCAATGTTGCTTCTGGACCCTTGCAGCTCAACTGCCAGTGTGTTACAGTGACTTTGGGTGGTTCTGAAGTTCCCATGTTCTGAATGTTGCTGAGCAGAAGTGATAGCAAGGGGCTTGCAATACAAACACACAAGGTTTTTATTTAGAATAAGTAGAACGTTTGCGGTTTCTGACTTGCAGCATTATCGATTACCTTTGGCCAAGGCTGTTGCTTCCCTTTCCCTTCCAAAGTGTGCTTGTACAATTCAAAGAAAAAAAAGTAATGTTCTTTTTTTAGCTGAAGGAAACCTCGCTGTCAGTCCTGTAGGTTCTTGTACCAGCAACTGTGATGCATCAGCCCCCTCTCCTACTGTGTTCCTGTTGGGTATAATAATTGCCGTTTCTTCATGGAAATAAATATCGTTTGGGCTATGTATAACCCTCTGGATGTCCTGATGTTGTAATTATACCATCGGTAGTGGTACTTTTTTGCTGGAGGATGTTCCTACTGTTGGGATGGAAGCTGAAGGAGGTCGTGGAAACCTCACGGATGCCAAGGTCTCAACAAAGTTTAGGCTGTTGCTGAGAAAAGGGTCATTTTTTTGGTAGAACTTGATTCTGCTTTGGGCTGGGCTGGGTGATCTCTCCAAGCCCCCGTCAGTCCCATCTTCTAGACTTTTGTCTGATATTCGTCTATGTGAACGCATAAAACTTGTGAAAGCAGGGATGAGTATTGCAGAGGGGCTAGACTGCTTTTTGAGCCTTTTACCCCCAAATCAGTAGTGTGAAACAAAAGTCACCAATTTTTTTTCCTGTGGATATTATCTCAAACTCCTTTCCACATCTGTCCGTGTGCGGACACCTGACCATTACACCGACACAAGGGGCTTTTTTTACAATGCCTGTTTGTGCATCTAGTACAAAAGACTTCGGTCCTATGTAATTTAATGTAATATAAAGAACGGCATGAATTGATCGGCGGACCTGCTTCAGGAGCTATAAGCAGCAGCCGTGCCAAAGGACTAGTGCACCTCCCAAGTAAACAGTGATGGAAATGGTAGAGAGCTCTTCTCCCATGCCCTGTAGGTCAAATAACCTTTTTTTTTTTTTTTTTTCCTGTTCACATGTGATAATTTCTTCTCATCAAAGACAAGTATAGCAGGTAAATGAAGAAAATTACAATTTGCATTCACTTTAGAAAATGGCTACTTGTGCGGTAGGTGGGGTTGGGAGCGAGGCATGGCTTCAACGAAAAATAAACAGGAAATATCCCCTCCCTGCATGATGTGCGGTACGAGGCATTGCTCTCCTGGTCTTTTGATGTCACTGCATTCTTTCAACTGTAATCTGATGGTAAGAAAAAAGAAACCGGGGTTGAGGAAAAGAGAAAAGCAGAGTGATGCAGCAGCAGATGACTCAGTTCCCATCTGCCCGAAGGCAGATGAAATACAAGTCATTTGCTGTGGCAAACCACGCAGACTTTTGACCTACATCTTGGATTTGTGTAGAGACAAACCTAGGATATACCCAGGGTTCATTCAGAATTGCATTGAGAGAGAGCGAACAAAAGTATCGCGTTCATTGTTTCCCTCAGTCATGACGACGTGTGCTGGAGGTCAACCTTGTTACGCAAGTTGGAGGATTCTGAGTGTAAAATAAAGGTATGGGGTGGAGGAGGAGAGGGAAAACGATGCCAAAAATGCCTTTCCTAGAGAAATGTTAGCACATCAGTGTAAAAAAAAAAAAAATAAATTTTTTTTTTTTTTTGGTAGTAAAATCTTGACACGATTCACTTTGATCACAGCGTCAATTATGTTAGAGGGGTTTATGTAGTTTGGCTGAGTGTAGGATAAAGTAGCTCTCCCAGGAGGAGCCTGGGGTGGAATTCCAGCATGTGCTTGTTCATGTATTTAACTGAGCTTTGCTGCGTTAATGAAACCAAACCACAGGGAGAGGTAAGCATGCTACGGGTAGATCCCAGCAAGGCTGTGAGACTCGAATGTTCAGCCAGGATACTGCAGCCACTCTATAAAGGGTAAAAGTGCAAGGGACCTGAAAGAAGATGATGATGGGAGCAACCATAATGATGAAGCAGCCTTGTTAACCTGGAGAAAGGACCCATGAAGCCAGCAGTCACCAGTCCTTCTTTACTCCTGGAGCTGGCTGATTGTACAGAAACAGGAGGTAAATTGGGCAATAAAAGCATCAAACGCTGTTTGACGCTCTGGTGGTCCATCTGGGTGAAGGTGAACTTCTGACTGGGTTAATTGGGAGCTTCCCATCATGGCATGACAGGCTGGCCAGCTCTTGGGCCGTGGTGGTGACGTTCCTTGAGGGACACCTGAAAACCTTGAGTCCCTTTTGTCTGAATATTCTTCTCCCAAGTGTGCCTTTGAGTGGACTTGAATAAACTACTTGTCTGCATACAGTTGCAACGAAAGCAAGTGAAATCTTCAAGATGTGGTTGTCGATTATCTCTTGCGAAAGCATGATTAGCACCAAATGGGTGAATATCTTTATCCTCTCAAGCAGAGCCACCAATTTAGAAACAAACTTCTCCTGTAGGAAGGCATTACTTTGCAGTTTTAAGCTGTGGAATTGAAAATTGCAATTAATCATTGCACACGCAGATATTCTTTCCTCTTATGCTTTCCCCTTTGCATCAAAGGTGATCCTTGTAGTCTTTTATTGGCATTAGTTGTTTCCATCCCCTGAGGCATCTTCTTGGGGTATCGGTCTGCTTTTGTGTTTACTGCTGGGCCGCAGTCACGAAATAACGCCAAGGTTTCAGCTTTGCCAATGACCACCATTTCTACTGAAGAACTAAGAGGCCCAGAAGATCTGTGTGAAATTGGGGTTTCATTGACTGCTAAGGTTGTGGTGACATCAGCCGTTGGGTACTTCTCATAGTCATTAGCCAGATACTGTCTTTTCCCTCTCTGAGACGGAGGGAGAGGTCTACCAGTAACCGTGATGGGAGCGGGGCTGTGGTTGCTGCCTCTGCATGGAGGACGTAGGGCTGGGTGCTGCTCTCGGTGTGTGCCACGGAAGTTGCACTCTGAGCATCAGTTGTGTTCGAGCTCCAGGTGGAGGGGAGCGTGCGCGGAGATCTGGGTAGCTGGCAAGCTTGCCAGTGCTGAATTAAATACAAGCGTGCCAGATACATACAGCTGTAAGTGTCTCATTAATTACTGGTGCATTTGCAGAACATACGATGTGCCAATTGATTGCTTCGGGGGCGGGGAAGCATCTCACTCACATAGATATCACCCCAAATTTTCTACTGGTGAACCAAAGTCACTTGGAGAATACATTTTTCCTTTCCTCAAGCTAAGTTTTAGCATTTTTATGGCTTTTCTGTGCACCGCTATTTGCAGGATGGACTCTGGCTACAAAGCATTAACAATTTGCAGTTGTTCTAGTGCTAATTTGGGAAAGGGATTCGTTGCCGCTCTGGAGAGGTGCGCACTTGGTGGCTCGCGTGCATGGGTCGATGTTGGAATAAAAGACTGAGCCGTCTGATGTTTTACGTAGCTACTAACTGAGTGTCACACACACCTCTGCTGCACTGGTGAAGTTGCCACACGCTGGCAGAAGACCAGTAGATAAGAGGTAATTTGATTTTTGAGTGATTTTTTTTTTTCCATTTTTTATTTTTTTTTTTATTTTTACCTGTCTTAGACTGTGAACAGAGCTAATTGTGTTCACTGTGGGCAAGAAGTGTGTACTGGGGTTGTGACTTGGCTCATCTGACGTGGTAACGCAATTGTATCTGAGAGAGGCTAATTCGCTATTTTTACTCATCAAAAAGGCTGGGTGGAACTTCAGGTGATGCTCAGGAGAGAAGCATTCAGCTTTATCCTCTTTGTTTAAGAGCCGATTCAGGTTTGGTTGCCGGAGCCCCTTAGAGATGCAGTTGCTGCCCTTATAACAGGCTCTTCAAGCATGGATTGGGTATGGCCCATGCGTAGAAGAGATGCCTGAATGGTCTTCTGGGCTTCATAATCAGAGTTAAAATCATGATCACCTTAGAAGCCTTTAAAAATAACAGTTTGGGCAGAGTTTTAGTGCATTAGCTTTCGAAGAACCCAACACCCTCCCCAAATATCAGCTTTGAGATCAAGAAGACAAGTTGTTTTGACAGAGTTGTTTCACTAATCTCCTGACTGATCCACTTTTGTGGTACCGCGTGTTTGACAGTGTTCAAATTCCTCTTTTTTTTTTCCCCCCTCATTCAGAAATTCATGGTTCTCATGAAGGATGGCAGGCAGTAGCTGAAAGCATAACAACAGCTCAGCACAATCTATATCGCTTGCTGAAATGGTTTCACCACATGAAAAATGGAAAATATAAAAGCCTAAAGCTATGTAACGTCAAGTATCTCCTCCACACTTATCTTCTTGACAGGGTTCTTATAGAGCGAGTCTTTCTCTTCTGCATTTTCAGAGCAGATTTTTCAAAATGAGCTGAAATGGATCAATTATGGACTATCTAAAGAAAAAAAACCACCTCTCTGAGGAGCCATAATCATCTAAAGAAAAAAACTCTGAAGAGCCATAATCGTACTTTGCTCCACTTTCTCATGACCATCTTTCAGCCAGTTTCCAGAGTAAATGCTGCTTCGTTCCGGTTGCTCTCTGTGAGATGATTCGTGGACACCGACAAGGCCAACACCTACATCTCTTCCACTTTCAGGTCTCTCACACTCATCCAGTAGCTCTCGTACTTGCTCTTGAACTGGAGTGATTTCACCGCTCGGGAAAATGCCCATTAACTCAAGGTGGTAAAAACCTATTTCTTGGGCGTCATTAGCAAAAACGAAGAATCGATCTCTTAACTGTCAATA